GTGTCCTGGGGCTATGGCTGCGCCTACGCCAACTACCCCGGTGTCTACGCCGATGTTGCTGTCCTCCGCACCTGGGTTGTCAGTGCTGCCAACTCGATCTAACTGAATAAATTATCCCTTCAGGAAATTCAATAAAGTTTTGCAAATACTATTTCGAAACTCTCTCTCTGTTTGGGATTTAAGGAAACCAAAGGTTATACTCCCCTTAAATGATTATCGAAGGAATAAGGATAAGGCGTGCTTAGGCGGAAGTTGATTTTTCTTACAGATTCCTATCACATCAAACGTTAGGAGTATCTTTCGAGGGTTTCGAGGGAATTCACCCGAATTACGTCGGTCATTATGGTACGCGGTATTCGTATAGTGCAAGGGTATTTTGTATTCGGGTATAAATACGTTGCATTCATAGGGCATGTAGCAAGGAAGATGCATATTCTGATTTATATTTTCAAAGCGATTTCAATAGACAGAAAAAAGATTAAGAATGGTGAGTATTGGCGGGAAACAACTAGGTACATATATCTGTGTAGAGGGTATCTTCTAGTCGGAATGTGGCTTTTTTTCTTAGTTCTAACTGATATCCGTGGTTTTAAGTGTTCTCGAGAATGGGGTAAACATTTGCCTGTCGGCACTCAAGTGGTGTATCTAATCAATCCTTGAGTGCATCGCGTGGCTAGGTTTCCACTCCATCTTGACTGTCTGGACGGCTACGTCATTCGTACATCAAGATAAATTGACCGCAACATAACAGAACAGATAAGTTTTGATTGATTTAGACAGCAAAAATAGAATTTTTCTGTAGTTTCTTTTATTTTTATTGTTTTATTATTTTTTGATTGAGTTTACTCAGATGATAATCGATTGTACAAATCATATAAAGATCGTTCTCAAGAAGACTATCTTTGCAGATAAAACAAAAGAAATGTTCATCAAATACAAAAAATAAAAATAAATGTATTTTTATAATGAAAGTCCCTTTTAGCCGATAAATAATTTAATACATTTCACCATTTATTCTGGGAACTCTTGGCAGATAATATTGTTTATAAAGTCTTTTTGCAATCTGATCATTTTCAATTTAATTTAAAGAGCCTGCTCTGTTTTTATTGACGATTGCAGCACCTGGGTGTGGTTTGATGAGCGCCAATCCGCTTGTCTAAATATTAAATACTGAATGGACGACTGCGATAGAGAAATTTGGGGTATCTTCGTTATATCGTTGATTAGGTAACTTTTGAGGGTAATTATTTAAAGTAATGACTTTTTGATGACCTTATGGGAAATTCTACTCGTATATTGGGGGCACAGGTACACTATTAGATCGTAAACCCCAAAACGAAAAAATAAGGTGTGCTTTTTGCGACAAATATGCGAGTACTCAACCAACTCATCCACTCAAACGATGTACAACCCATTATAACACATGCCGATGAACAATCAAAGTGTACCATGTTTACGAGTATATCTTTAAGACAATAAGTCCATAAAAGGTGTTCAAGTGTGTACTTCCGAAATGCGGCAACAGTTCTTCTGATTTCGTGCGGTGGGTGCCTTTGGCAGATAAGAAGTCGTGGCGATAACGATTGGGCCGACCGGATTACGCTGAGGAGCCTCTTCAGGCACGCGGATGCTAATTCTCGAACTTTAATGATTGCACGATACTGTCAGACGGAACACTCGATCACTCCAGTGGAGCTCGATGGAAAGCTACAAATAGGACTGCATGGATCAGCACATGGCTTAGTTTTCTCCGAAAATGCACGGATTAGTAGCACTGTTGGCCTGCCTGGCTGTGGGCAGTGCCTGGGCAGGGACTGTCAGCGTCGCTCGCAGTCCCTTCGCGCGAGAGGGTCGCATAGTGGGCGGCGAGGACACCACTATACAGGCCCATCCCTACCAGGTGTCGCTGCAGACAAAGCGTGGCTCCCACTTTTGCGGAGGCAGCTTGGTCAACAAGAACACCGTGGTGACGGCGGCTCATTGTCTGCAGGGCCGCACGGCCTCCAAGGTCTATGTCCGCCTCGGTTCCACGCTGTACAATGAGGGGGGACTGGTGGTGTCGGTCCGAGAGCTGGCATACAACGAGAAATACAGCTCCAGCACCATGGAGTTTGATGTGGGAATCTTGAAGCTGGCCGAGGACGTTGAAGAGACAGAAGATATCCGCTACATAGAGCTGGCCAAAGAGACGCCAGCCACGGGGACGCCAGCCATTGTCACTGGGTGGGGATCTAAGTGCTACTTCTGGTGCATGACCCTGCCAAAGGTTCTTCAGGCAGTGACCGTATACATCGTGGACTGGCAGTTGTGTGCCTCGGATGAGTACAAGTACGGCGAGATCATCTACGACACCATGGTATGTGCCTACGAAAAGAAGAAGGATGCCTGCCAGGGCGACTCCGGTGGTCCTCTGGTGGCCGAGAACAAGCTCGTGGGCATTGTGTCCTGGGGCTATGGCTGCGCCTCAAATCTGCTGCCCGGCGTCTATGCCAGTGTGCCCGCTCTGCGGGATTGGATCGTTGAGAATGCCGAAAGTCTGTAGATCTTTCAATAGCTCATTGTTTGGTATAGTTCGTTCCGAATCATGTATACTTTCAGGGGTTCCACAGAATTCCAGTACCTAAGAGATTAAAAATCAATCAGAAAGCTCTCTAAAGCTAAGTAAATGTCTGTATTTGTATTGAAAATCTACCAAAACCAAACAGTTTCGAGGGTGCTTATCGCCAATAGTCTCTTAGTCAGCCATGGTATTCTCATGCCCTTGGGTGGCTATAAGCAATTAGTTTGCCATTTGCCATCTTATCGGGGTAATACCCAATCCAATTTATTGACCAATTCAAGATAGTCCCAAAGCTTTTCGCTGATTGCAACGATCCATTCCAAAGAAATTTTAGTAGCTCCCAGAACAACAAAATGAACAAAGCTCGATCCGCGTTCGCCGCCGCCCTTCTTTTGCTGGCCATCTGCGCCGCGAATGCTGACCTGGAAGGCCGCATTGTGGGTGGCGTGGACACCTCCAATTACTTTGCCAAATATGTGGTACAGCTGCGCAGACGCAGCTCCACCAGCAGCGCCTATGCGCAGACCTGCGGCGGAAGCGTTCTGGACAGCCGGACGATTGTGACCGCTGCCCATTGCGTATACAACCGACAGGCGGAGAACTTCCTGGTGGTGGCCGGGACCGACAACCGGGCTGGAATGGATGGCCTGGTGGTGCGCGTGGAACAGCTGATCCCTCACGAGAACTACAATGCCACCACAACGGATAACGACATCGCTCTGGTGATCGTCTCGCCACCGCTGCCCCTGACGGACACCAGCAGGATTGGAGCGATTCAGGCAGCCACAGAGCAGCCGCCAGTGGGCGCAGTGGCCACTGTCAGCGGATGGGGCTACACCCAGGAGAGCGGCCTGTCCTCCAATAAGCTGCAGCAGGTGCAGGTACCGCTCGTGGACAGCGTCCAATGCCAGGATACTTACTACTGGCGACCCATCAGCGAGGCCATGCTCTGTGCAGGTCTGCCAGAGGGGGGCAAGGATGCCTGCCAGGGCGACTCCGGCGGACCGCTGGTCGTCAACAATCAGCTCGTCGGCATCGTGTCCTGGGGCGAGGGCTGTGCCCGTCCCAATACTCCCGGTGTCTATGCGAATGTGGCCCACTTCAATAACTGGATCGCCCAGCAACGGGCAACTTAGTCATAGGTTAACATGCAAAGGGTGCGACATGCGACCTCTGCTCCTACATATATGATACTCGTACTAAAATATTTAAATAAATAAAAGTGTAATTTAACTAGTGAATGGGGGCATTTTAAAATACACTTGTAACAATGAGATATCACAGGAGTGTGGATACTTAACTTGGTTTCTCTACCTCTTATATGCTCTGAGATCTGGGCACTCATCGGGATGGACAGACGGACAGACAGATATGACTCTATCGATTCGGCTATTGATGCTGATCAAGAATATATACATATACTTTATGGGGTCGGAAAGGCTTCCTTCTGGGCGCTACACACATCCATTTTTACCACACATCTAATATACTATAATATAATATAATTTTGAGTATCGGGTATAAAAATGCTGTAGTGTAGGTATAGAGGAATGTTATAATGTGTTGGATTTAATCGGAGTTGATTTCTTGATTGTCTATTGCACTCTGTAGGTCCATTCCGTGTTCAGAGCGGATGTTTGCAAAAAATGTTAATGCAATTTTAAATATTTTACTCAATTTTAATTCATTTATGAAACTTTTCAATTGCCAATTGATCCAAAAGCAAAAACCAATGGTATACGCTGGATGCAGGAGAAATATGCATACAGTTACTTAAGGGAACACCTCTTTATGCGGTTCGTAAATGTGGCACTCTTTGAAAGATTTAAATATCCGATTCTAGTGCTATCCGTGCTAGTGCTAGTTTTCAATAACAAGTGCTAGGGCAAATATATCATATTCTTCATATCTCTCTCTTCATTTGGAATTGTCTGACATGCAATATATTTTAGATATTTTCGTAGATAGTTTTGAATATATGAAGCTCGTGGAAAATTCGTTCACATGATGCACTGGAAGCTGGCAACATAAGCATCGTCTGGTTCTAGCATTTAATCTCATCTCAGCAGTACTGAATCCTCCAGTTACGGATGTGGAGGAAAAATCAGCAGCACCGTAATCTGCGCTGCTACCGGCTGTGTACTTTCATGAGGATAGTATGTAAAATGTTTAATGGGAATGTTTGGTACGAATGCCGTATGTACGTGTATTTGCTAAGAGATTTTTAAGGTTGTACTCTCTGGACTTTAAGAACGGTTTCTATGGTTTTTGTCGTCCAGTGTTATATTCGCTCATAAAGCGTATCGCCCGGAGTATTGCTCTACAAGTGCTAAAGGTATCCAGAATAAAATTTATGGTACGAATATAGTTGACCGACTGCTTGATAAGCCTTACAATAGTCGGTACCGCCGCTGGGACTATCAGTCCTCGATTCTCCGCCAACTGTCGAACATGTCGCGCTCATTGCTGTCCAGCCTTTGTGCCCTGCTCTGTCTAGTGGCAGTGGCCAGGTCTATGCCCGTGCAGGAGGATGAGGTGACCAGCCAGGGCCCACGCATTGTGGGCGGCTACGTGACGGATGTGTCCCAGACGCCCTACCAGATCTCGCTGCGGTACAAGGGGATTACGACGCCAACGAATCCCTTCCGCCACAGGTGCGGAGGCTCCATCATCAGCAGTACGATGGTCGTGACTGCGGCCCACTGCATCATTGGCACGGTGGCCAGTCAGTTCAAGGTGGTGGCCGGGACCAACCTGCTCAGCGGCACCGACGGCATCATCGTCTCCGTGTCGAAGATCATCATGCACGAAGAGTACTTCTCTGGAGCTGCCTATAACAACGATATTGCCCTGCTGATTGTGGATCCGCCGCTGCCGGTCAACAACTTCACCATCAAGGCCATCGAGTTGGCCTCGGAGCCCCCGCTGGCCGGTGCCGTCAGCAAGATCAGCGGTTGGGGAACCACTTCCTCGGGCGGCGTTGCCTCCAACGTACTGCTCGCCGTCGATGTCCCAATCGTGAGCAACGAGGACTGCAACAAGGACTACGAAGACTTTGGCGATGATACCTACCAGATCACACCAGCCATGCTGTGCGCTGGCGTACGTGGAGTGGGTGGCAAGGATGCCTGTCAGGGTGACTCCGGCGGCCCGCTGGTCGTCCGCGATCAGCTCCACGGCGTTGTTTCCTGGGGCAACGCCTGTGCCCTGGCCAACTATCCCGGTGTCTACGCCAGTGTCGCGAACCTGAGGCCCTGGCTTGATTCCAAGATAGCGGAAGAAGCAAATCTCTGAAACATAAAACATCATCTAATCTGTAAGCACCGCTTAATCTCATGTCACATGAGGTTATATCAATAAATGGGTATTTTATTGGCCATGAAGTTTCCAATTCAAAAGAATTGTTTCTAAAGATTGCCCCAATCGCATTTGGATTACATCCACATAGAAGCGATTAAATCAACGTGGTTGTCACTCGTTTGATCAAGACATCAAATCCGAAAATACGACCAGAAGCATAATCGTTCAGTTTTGTTTGCCAATTACACATATGTGGCATGCATTTAGGTTTAGTACAAATTTCGTTTGCAAAATGTGTGGCATACTTCTCGGCTATCCATAGAAATTATACCATAATAATTCCATTTTGCGGAAAGTGAGTCCAAAGTTCAATCGCAATCTTTTCAATGGCAAAATCTACGCTAAACCGTGAGCAGAGAATGTTCATTTGTATATCTGATTGGGGTTGAAACGATAAAGTTTAACATTGATCTCATTTCGCATTGGTTGCCAAATCATAAAGATATAGATTACAAATCGATATTCACTAGTGAATCATGGGGAAGTTTACTCTGAAAACCATTTGAGAGACCATATCTCGGAATCCAAACAAGGGGCGATATAAAATTCGATTGTAGAGGCTTCATAGATAGATGGAGCTTACGTCTCAAATACCTTAAGATTAACCGAAAGCAGTCCGCAAACAACGTAATCGTCTTTATCTCGGTAGTATTCTTCGGTACGCGTTTCTAAATGAAGCTATCTAGAGCACCTCCCATTAAGATTAGCGATATGCCGCCGCCGCCTGGAAAAGTGCAACTTCGCGCTCCGCCCAGTCATAATTTATAATCAGTTCGATTCGAACCAGTTGCCTGTGCAAATCGACCGCCAGTCCACATCCGCAGCGGAACAATGTGCATCCGAGAGCTTCAGATGATGGGGCCGCTCCTGCTGCTGCTGCTGGCAGCAACAGGCTCCTCCGCCTCCGCCTCGGCCTTGGCCCAGCCGGAAGCGCGAATCATCAACGGCACCACAGTGGACATTGGACGGCATCCATACCTGGTCTCCTTGCGGTATCGTCGCACCGAGACGTCCAGCTACATGCACGAGTGTGGCGCAGTGATATACTCCGAGCAGGCCGTGGTCACCACTGCCCAGTGTTTGTGGAACCTGCCGGAGGGCACCAAAGTACTGGCCGTGGCCGCCGCAAACACCCGCAATGGCAGCGACGGACTTGTGGTCCCAGTCTCCAACTGGACGCTTCACCCCAGCTTCGACTACATCAGCGTCGACTACGACATCGCGGTTTTGATCCTGGATTCGCCCTTGAATCTAACCCGATTCGGCGTTCGCTCCATAGGCATTCGACCGCAGCGTCCGGCCGTGGGGCGGCTGGCCACAATAGCCGGCTGGGGCTATCGCGAAGAGGGGGGCCCCTCCAGCTACCGGCTGGAGCAGGCTCAAGTGCCCATCGTCAGCTCGGAGCAGTGCAACCAGATCTACGGCACTGGTGAAGTCACCGATCGAATGGTCTGCGCGGGAAATGTGGCTCAGGGTGGTATTGATGCCTGCCAAGGCGACACCGGCGGTCCACTGGTCATCGACGACCAGCTGGTTGGCCTCGTGTCCTGGGGACGCGGCTGTGCCCGTCCTGGCTACCCCTCAGTCTACACCTACGTGGGCAGCCTGAAGAGTTGGATCGATGAAACCCTGGCGGCCAGTGGGGCGCAGTGAACTAAGGAATTTTCTAGTTATCCGCTGATTGCTGGCCGCAATCGACGTTATCTTCAAGTGGCTACTGCCCACTATCGGCCCAGCTAGAGCTACCAATGTACACGGCTAATTCAATAAAAAAACTGTAATAAAACTAACAAAATAATTAGGAACCGTATCGCCAGTGCTTCGCTTTGGCTTCGAGTCAAACTGTTTTATGTAACATGTTAAATGATTCGCAAGATATATTCCAGTAAAACAATCCTCCGATTTCCAAAGATTTACAGAAAGTCGATTTTCCCCACATTTTCGTAGGATTCGATAGTCTCCAACAGCCAGCTGCGCAGCTCTGGCACGGAGGCATACACGCCCGGGTAGTTCTCTCGCGCACAGCCCGTACCCCAGGAGACGATGCCCAGCAGTTGATTGTTGTAGATTAGGGGGCCACCGGAATCGCCCTGGCAGGCGTCCTTGCCACCGCCGGTCACGCCGGCGCAGAGCATGCGACTGGTGAGCATTATCGAGTAGGCTTTCTTGCACTGACTGTTCTCGACCACGTTCACTTCCACCTCCTGCAGGATGTTGGACAAATAGCCGTTTTCAGTGGTGGTGCCCCAGCCGGTGACTATTACTGCTGAGCCATGCTCCGGACGCTCTTGGGCGAGTGGAATGGGATGGGCCAATTCGTTGAAGATGAAGTCTCCGTCGGTGATGAGAATGGCCGCATCGTAGTCGTTGTTGAGTGTCCTGTAGTTTGGATGAATGATAATCTTGCGGACCGGCAGCTCCTGCGTCTTTATGCTGATCATCGTGGAGCCGGCCACAATGGTGAGGTCTGCTGGGCTGTCCAAAGTGCTCACGCAATGGGCGGCACTGATGATTATGTTGGTCGAATAGAGGCTGCCTCCACAGCGATGATTGCCCCTGTAGCGCATCGAGATCTGATGTGGATAATTGATGACATCCGTATCCTGTCCGCCCACGATGCGGCCATCGGGCAGCGGCACTTGCACCTCAGCGTTGAGGTGGACGGGATCCGCCAGAGAGGCTCCAACTCCGAGCAAACAGAACGCGACCAAAATCCGTAGCATTTTCAATCAACTGACCGCAAGGCGAGAATCGCACCTAGATTTATAGATTCGCCTTATCGACTGGCTATAGATTGCGATTGGATTGACCATTATACCATTATCAAACATCTTGATAGCCGCGAAATCATGAAATAGACACGAAGAGTCGTAAATATAGGCGTCAGAAAGCGTCCAGAGCTATTTCCAGACAAAATAGTACTAACTGGCGAAAAGATATATTGTAAATGGAAAACCTATCAATAGAAATAACTGTTCCATTTTTGAGTCTTTTGGTATTACTTCTATATATATTTTCGCTCTTGGAATCGATCAAAACATCTATAATTTCACCGCTCAAAATAATCAAATCAAATTCATGTAAAACTACATATTAAAATATTTATTATAGATAACTATAGGTATATACCATATACATAAAACTGAGACTAACATTAAGATTGCACATTTCCGGCCCAAGACTGCTGACATTTATCACAATATACGCATCGATGCCTCTTCGATGCGATACGCTACGATTCGATAAACGATACGATAATATACGTTATAATATAATTATTGCACTTATATATCTTAGGGCTTGGCTTGGGTCTGTTGGTAGCTACATACTTATTGCACGTTGCATTTGAGATGCAGTTTCCAAGGAGTTCCATTTCTTATAGCTATCTTATTTCGATTAAAATTGCACCTTGTGGTTTGGCAAGAATTATTTGCGAAGTTATTGCACTGATTACTTCGGGTTAGCTTTAACCTAGTCTAGATGGAAGTCTTTCCTCTGTTCCATATATTGCACGTCCCTAAATCGAACTTAACCCTACTTTCCACTAACCTAACCTCACTTATCCTAACCTAGCTCTTTCTGATCATTTTGTAGAGAACAGAGTGGGTCTCTATGCTCTCCGCCCCGGACTCCCACATGTCCTCTGCATTGGTCTCTTCGTCCGTCTCGGACGATCCACAGCAAGTGCTGTGGCCCCGTCCGGCCTCCTCCTCCGAAGAGTAGGATGACATCGTGGTTGTGCTTCCGCGGACATTCAGCTCCTGGGAGTTTGCCTGCGAGTGGGAGCGAGTCAAGGTCTTGTCGGAGTCGGCATCGCTCAGATCGTCGCCGGCAACGTTATCTGGAGAGCGGCGGCTGTGGCCAGGCGAGACCATATGCTCCAGATCCTCGAAGCGACTGTCATTGGGCCCGCTCTCCTCCTCGTTGTCCTCTATGGTGTCCACCCGGATGATCTGGCCGCGCCCCGTCATCATCTTGAAGTTGTACCGATCGTAGACATTGCGCTTGTAGAGCTCTGTGGAGTCCGTGCTCATGTAGCCGCTGTCCAGCTGCCCGAATCGCTGCTCATAGTAGTTCTGACTGCCAGGCCCGTGTCCCATGCCAGCGGACTGCGCCGCGTTCTCAATGATAGTGGCGATGCCCTCATCTCGATCCAGGGCCTCCAGGAAGCCCGCAGCATTCTTGGTGCCGTATGTGGGGGCCGGGCTCTGGCTGGGGCTGAACTTGTTGGCCGCCATGGTAACGAACTTGCGCCACGCATTCTTCAGATCCTTGGCCTTCTTAGCCCGATCCTTCAGGCCGATGGCGATCTGCATGCCCGCCGTCAGCTGAGCCGGCTCTATCTCGCACCGGTAGACGGTCTGTACACTGCTCTGGTTGGCGTTTCCAGAGCTGTTGGCCGCCGCCCGCTGGGGATAGGCTATGCCCACGGGCACTCCTGCATTGCGGTACATCTCCTTGGTACGCTCCGACAGGTGACCGCTGCTCCGGTTCGATCGCGAGCTGATCGACAAGGCATCAAACTGGTTGAGATCCACGTCCTTCAGGCTCTTGGCATTGTTGCTGCTGGTGAACTCCGGTTCCGGGTTGTCCTTGCGCTCCTGCGCTGGCTCAGAGGCTTCCTCGCGCTGGTGACTCTTGCGGCGATTGAGATACTTTGTGAGGCTGTAGTCGTTGCGCAGACTGTTGATCTTCTTGTTGTACATCGCGTCGTAGTCGGCCTCCAGGTGGGACTGCTTGTGGGACTGAGACTTGCCGTGGATCTCCTTGGACTGCTTGGCATAGCCTCGCTCCTCAGTTGTGGCCGATATCGCGCTGGACATGGTGTTGTTGCAGGAGTTCTCGAATTCCGAAGTGACCCCGGTCACCTCCGTGACCTCGCTGTGCATGCTGTAAGCATCCTCATCCTGTGTCTGGCTCTCGCCTGCCGTTTGGGAGGGCGGCGGCGGCGGCAGTGGCCGCTTGCTCTGCGCCAGTGGAGGACAGTAGTGCTGATTGGCCTTTGGGGCATTCCTGTGCCCCAGTGCCTTG